AAAGAAAAGAAAAGAAAAAAAATCAGAAAGTTCAAAGCCCTTGAAAATTCAAAGAAAGTTATCGAGGCCCTAAGCAATTTAGCAAGACACCCCACCCCGGGTTCAATCCCTGGTATCATAAATAAACAAAAGAACTGAGCATGTATCTCAATGGTAACAGACCTCTGGGTTCAATATCTAGTACTCAAATAATAACAGTTAATATTACTATTGTAATTAATTGCCACTAGTAATTAATATAATAATTATGATGATGATAGAATAAACCACTTATTTAGCATTGGGCCCAGTTCTTTACATATACCGGTTTTTCTTTACAGATATTATTTTCACTCTTGTGTTCACAGCACTGGGACTGTTCTGGTGCATGGTTGATGTTCATTATTTGCATAATGAATGAGGAAAACAGGATTAGAAAACAGTGACTTGAGCAATGGTGGTGGGTAAAATGGCAAAGAAAGGTTAGAGATAGGAGAGAGAAAAAGTAGAGGATTCCAACAGCTAAGCAAGGGCTGTTGAGATATAATTTGATGTGAGGTTTGTTAAACTTGTAAGAGTGGGAGAAGAAATAGCTTAATTCTTACAAAGATGTTCTACTGTGTTGTTCTTTTGCAGGAATTTTCATCGCGGGATAATTCCTTGTCTTGTTATCCTAATTGCCTGGATCCAATAACATGAACCCAACCACACTTTGGCCATCCATCCTGTCTGGGTCTAGGATCCTAGAATTCTTGCCATAGAAGTTTTTCTTCTTCGAATCTAGGCCTGGATGTATTTCTGCAACCTCTGCAACCTCCAAGTCAGCATTGTTATACCCGGCTTCCCTTGTCCAGGGGACAAGGCTCCCTTCATTTTTATTCCGCGGTTTCACAATCTAAGGTTTAAATTTTTCTCTTTTTAAATCTCTCACGGCTTGCTGTACACACAGTCCGGAATGAAGACAGGCAGTTCAGGATCTCTCCACCCTTCTTCTACCCCTCCTCCACGTAGGCCTGTTTTGCTGAAAACCCTAACCCTGAGAACGGAAATGGGTTCAGGGAGGAAAGGCTGGATGCCTCTAAAGAGGAGAGGGACCAGCTCTGGAAAGAACTCTGGTTAGATTTACAGCCCAGCCTGGGGCGATTGAATCTGGGTGTGTCACCATGGAGACGGGGCTGGCCAGCGTGCTCCGCTGCCATTGGCTGTGGACTCCCGGGATTGGGGATATAAGACTGCGCCCAGAGAACCGTGCCCGAACTGTGCGGACCAGACTCGGCTACCGCAACGGCCACGCAGCTCAACCGAGCAGAAACAGCGACGACCGGCAGGATCTTTAGCAGGGAGTCGGCAGCTCCATGGAGAACGAGTGAGGCCCGGGGACCCGGGAGGCCCTGGGGAGGGGAAATGGCTGTCACTCAGACCTCGGAACTTGGCACCCGGGCCCCAGAGGTGGCCGGGGGAGGGAGCGAGTGCCCTGATGATGCAGAGAGGCCTGGCACGAAGCCTCGTGTCTGGGTCAAGGCAACAGAACAGTGGGGCAGCCAGAGCCGGCGCGCGCGGGAATCGAGCTGGGTAGCGCCGCCAGAACAGGAAGGGGACAAGTTTGTGTAGTGTGGCTACTCTAAGGGACTGTTGTGCGTCCGTGTCTGTGTGTGTGTGTGTGTGTGTGTACCAGGGAGGAGGTCTCCCACCCCATATGCTCTTCACAAATCTCCATTCTAGAGTCTGGGTAAAGCGCCAGGTACTTTCAGAGGGCGAATTTTTAGTTTCTGCTTTAGAGGAAAGAATGCTCACTTCCCTAGCCGCTCCTCCTTTCCCTCCAAATTGGAGGTCGTGAATGGAGTGTCGAAGGAAATATTTATTCACTGAGCTCAGCAACAGACAAGTAACCACTCCTTCCCACACTTTTGAAAAACCCTTCTCTCTCTTGGTCGTGAAATTCCCAGTCCAAGTAATCAACATAACATTAGGGATCACAGTGGCTTTGGATAATTAGGAATTCAAGGTATTCTTGGGGGACAGATCATGAATGAGGAAGTCCTATGAGCTGTGAGTGAGACATGCCAAGTGGCCATGCTTAACAGTTCTTTCAGTTCCTTTTTTTCACCTCTGGGGGGATGCTAGTTGACTAATTTCTTGCAGACTTTTTTGCTTCTTTGCATCACCTTGTACCTCTATGGCTTCCACCCAGCTCTTACCCAGTCATTTCCCCGAGAATAGCCTGGTTTATTGTCATATCTGGTTTCCTAGGCTCTGATGGATTGATAGACCTGTTTTTGAGGTAGGGTCCTACAATATTGTCCAGGTTGGTCCCATACTCCTGGACTCGAACAGTCCTCCCAGCTCAGCTACCTGAGTATCTGAGACTACCAAGTGGACACTGAGGCACCCAGTTCCTAGGCTCTGCTTTTAAAGAGAAAAATTTCCTCTGGAGGCTTGCTTAGTTGTGTTCAATACTGTTCCACCTCTGAGAACAATCTTTGATCATTCAAGATGGGTGTGAGAGATTGGACATGAAACTGAGAAATTTCTGGATTGATTTTTGTTGGGGGCATAGGGATTCTGGGTAAGTGTATATGCCCTTTGGTCCCTGAAGGGTAATGTGAAGGGAAGATGGGAGCAGGCAGGGAAGAGGAGGAGGGGCAGGAGAAAGAAAGAAAGGAGACCCAGGAGGAAAGAAAGAATCACAGAAGGAAAGCAAAAGTAAGTTTCAAACACTGAGTGTAACAGAGCTACATCCCCAGCCCTTTTTATTTTTTTTATTTTTTATTTTTTTAAATGTCACACTGGACATTTGACTCTTTTTTTTTTTAAGAGAGAGTCAGAGAGGAGAGAAAGAGAGAGAGAGAATTTTTAATATTTATTTTTTAGTTCTCGGCAGACACAACATCTTTGTTGGTATGTGGTACTGCATGCCAGGCGAGCGCGCTACCGCTTGAGCCACATCCCCAGCCCCCTTTTTTATTTTTTATTTTGAAACAGTGTCTCACTAAATTGTCTAGGCTGAACTTGCTATCCTCCTGCCACAGCCTCCTAGTTGCTGGGATTACAGGTGTGTGCCACTACCCCTGGCTTGGAATCTGCATTTTTAACAAGCTTCTGAGAGTTATGGTCAGTCCTATAGCCTTTGTTGGTGTTGTGGATTGAGTCTGGTGTTGTGGATTGAGTCGGCTTTTTTGCAATAGTTTAGTGTCTGATCTTGGGTACCTTTGCAATTACCATATGATAAGGGTCTGTGCTGGCCTAGGAATCCCAGAAATGATGAACTAAGAATGGTGCATAGAAGTGCTCCCAAACAAACAAACACAAAAAACGAAAGCTGAGAGTGTGGCAGCTCAGTGTGGAGTGTTTAACTAGTATTCACAAGGCCCTGGTATGGTCCCCAGCACTGCAAAAGAGAGAGAGAGAGAAAAAAAAATAGTGTTAAGTTTTTTGGCTGAGGAAGAAGCTAGAGGGTGAGTATCTAAAAGGAAATTTGGCTTATTTCTGTCTTCAAGGTCATTAGTCTTAATTACATTTTGAGTGCCCCCAAGGAATAGATAGGGTACTAAGGAAGATTGTATTAGGTCTGTTACTGCCCTCAGGAAGGGCTCAATTCCATTTTGAGTGCTCTCCTTAGCCTTACATACCTTGATTTGATTATTCCATTGTACTCCTCTACACCCTATGGTTCTCCTCTCTAAATCTTTGTCATAAGGGAGAGCTATTAAACCTGCCTGTGCTGGGGATATATCCCAGGGCTGGCATGCTTGCCTGGCATGTGAGAAGCCCTGGGTTTTGACCCTCAGGATTGAAAAGAAAAAAAAAAAAAATAATAAAGAAGCAGCAACAGCAGCAAACAAACTTGGTGGTGTTAACAGCATTGAAGTTGAGGCTGTTAGTGGACACAGGTTCACTAACTTTTGCCAGGCACTACAATGGAAAGAGTCACACACTAGACTTCAGTGGGCCTGATTCAAAAAAGGGGTGGTGAGTGATCAGTAAACATAGTATAGCTTCTTCTTAGCCAGCTTCTCTGTCCCTGTTGCCCTGGTATACCTGCCAACCTTTTTTTTGTACTGATGGTCATTTGTCTATGATGCCTTTGGAATGGGAGAATTGACTTTATTTTCCTTTTGTTCCCTAGATTCACATATGAAGATTATCAGAAGACTGCAGAATGGCTTCTCTCTCGTACCAAGCACCGACCTCAAGTGGCAGTGATCTGTGGTTCTGGCTTAGGGGGCCTGACCAATAAATTAACTGAGGCCCAGTTCTTTGACTATAGTGAGATACCCAACTTTCCCCAAAGCACAGGTACTAGCAAGGGGAAGTGGGGGATAGGTATGCAATTACCACATGATAAGGGTATTCTGATGGGAGTCTGTGGAACTCAGCCAGGGAGACCAATGTGTCTACTCCTAGACCTAGCATTTGACTTCAAAAAAATGTTGTAAGAGAGGGAAAAAAGACTACCATGAATCAGAATGACTTGAGAAGAGTATTCTCCTCATAGAAATCCCATAATAGGGCATGTGTGTGTCACTGTGAGTATGATGATGTCTTTCTGTGCTTTACTGATCCAGCTCCTTAAAATAGCTCTACAATACGTCCCCACTTGTGCTTCCTCCCATATACTATCATTACCACTTATATACGCCCCTCCAGCCTGCAGCAAAACAGAAACAATGCCTGTAGCCTCCCAGGACAAGGTCAGGCTTCTGTCCAGTGTCTTCCTGCCATTTTCCCCAACTCTAGCTCCAGGCCTAGGATAAGAGATGTGGACCATGTTCTTACAGACACTAGATTAATACATGATTGCACAAGGTCTAATTCACACGGACCCTTTGGAAGGAGATGGAGGTGGATGTTACCCACACATAATGGGGAATTGAGGGGTGAGAAGATAGCAAATCTAGTATTCCTGTAGCAGCCAGAAAGCTCTAACGCTAAGTTAGAAAAGCGCTAGGTGAAACAGGGACAAGTAAAGGACAGGGTGGTTTATTTGGTTTACTTATTCTCAAAAAACTAACTTCCCTTGGTTTATTTATTAATTTTTTAGGTTTCTATCTTTCTTCCTCTTTTCTCTGCAGAGTTCTATAGAGTTAGGACTTTTAATAAATACTTAAAAAACCCTTTGTAACAAGACAGAGACCAGAGCAGGCAGCTGTGGGAATGAGGGTTGGAAAAGGAAAAAATAGAAAGAGGAAGGGCATAGTTCTCAGAGGGAGAGGGTAGTGACATTGACTCCACCTGCCATGTGACTGCTGCCTCCAGTGAGCAGGATATTGCACTAAGTGATAATTGAGTTTTTATCAGTCTTTTTATTTTTCATATTCTACGTTGGTTTTCTTTGCTTTTACTACTTATTTATTTTAAATTTTAAAAAATTTTGGGAAATAGAGATTGAACTCAATGATGCTTCACTACGGAGGTACATACCCAGCCCTTTTTATTTTTTATTTTGAGACAAGGTCTTGCTAAATTGCTGAGGCTAGCTTTTAACTTATTATCTTCCTGTCTTCCTGCCTTAGCCTTGTGAGTCTCAGGAATTATAGGTATGCCTCACCACACCCAGGACTACTAATTTTTTTTTTTTTTTTAAGATAAATTCTGTTTGTGTAGCCCTTAACACTTCCTCTTGATTCTGGCCCCTCTCCCAGACCATTCATACCCTCAGGGATAAATTGGCCATCCATTAGAAGGGGCTGTCAGAAGAGGGAAATGGTGATATGGTTATGTTTATGGGTAGTTATCTGTATTCCAGTTGCCACGTATACCTACCTTGGCATGAATTCCCACAAAACTGTAATGTGCATCATAAGGAAGATTTGCATGGTCCCAAATTCAGCCTCTTTCCCCCTTGTTCAGTAGCCTCCTCTTTAGGAAGACAATGTATATCTGAGCTTTCTTGCTGGAATGAAGAAGCATATCCTTTCGTTAGCACAATACAAGGATATTCTTTTTCAGTACTAGTGATTAAACCCAGGGCCTCATGCAAGTGATCTTCCAATGAACTAACTCCCCAGCCCTTTTTATTTTTTGAGTCTGGGTTTTATTATGTTGTCCCGGCTTCCTTGAACTGCCAATCCTACCTTCAGGCTCCCAAACAGCTAGGATTACAGGCCTGAACCAGCATGTCTGGGTTTATTTTAAGAATTTTAAAAATTTTGGAAAAAGCCTATAATTACTGTATTCATTATCATCAACTTTATTTCTTAGTCACTTTTACTTTCTTTCGTATGTCTTTCTCATTCATTTGGGAAAAAATATATATATATTTTTTGTATGCAGTTCTGGGGATTGAACCCACAGGTTCTCTACCACCAAGCTACACCCCCCCCCCTACTCTGGCTTTTTTTTTGAGACAGAGTCTCTCTAAATCGCTTGCATTGGCCTCAAACTTGTGATCCTCCTGTCTTAGCCTCCTAAGTTGCTTGAGACCACAGGTATATACCACAGCACTGACTGAAACTGCTTTAAAAAGCCTTTTGCTCTTTCTCCATATATTCATATGGAGCATCCTTACCCACATAGCTCTAATCTCAGGATACATTTTTATGATTATAATTGCCTGTCTTTCCACCAGACTTAATGCTTTTTGTTTAATTATAACCTTAATGTGTTAAGCACAGGGAGAGAGTGGCCCCTAGTAGATCCCCAAAGGTTCTGTGTTATATGAGAGCATAATACCGTTCTTTTTCCCTTTTGTTTGTGTACAGTGCCAGGTCATGCTGGCCGACTGGTGTTTGGGTTCCTGAATGACAAGGCCTGTGTGATGATGCAAGGCAGATTCCACACATATGAAGGCTACCCCCTCTGGAAGGTAATGAGGGTCAGAGGGCTGGTTGGGTCTGGAAGAAGTGGAAGAGACTACTCTTTTATTGCCTAGCTCTTTGGGCGACATAGACTTTTGGTCCCCCTTTTCATCTTTCATGTATTATGCACATCTGCCTAAGTAGATGGTGAACATTTGAGAAAACTTTTTCTAACTTTTTCTTCTAAGGTGACATTCCCTGTGAGGGTTTTCCGGCTTCTGGGTGTGGACACCTTGGTGGTCACCAATGCAGCTGGAGGGCTCAACCCTAGTTTCGAGGTTGGGGATATCATGCTGATTCGTGATCACATCAACCTACCTGGTTTGGGTGGTCAGAACCCTCTCAAAGGGCCTAATGATGAAAGGTATGTATCTGGCTCTTGAGTGTAGGGTTTCAGGACTTTTCTAGGAGTTGTGAGAAAGT